ATATCTCAGAAACATAATGTTGGTGAAAGAAAGAAGCTAGGTGTGAAAGAATATCCATTTTAAAATTTCACTTACATGCAGTTCAAAACCAGGAAAATTTAGAATCTGCATTGGATATTAGATTATGTTTACGGGAAAATGTCCTCACAGAGGAAACGTTATTCCCAGTTGAAAATCACTGGTGCAGACCATAATTACACTGAAGGAGTCACTAGTAAGCAATCTGCATTATACTTAAGCCTTTCACCCACTGGATGGGAGGGGGCTAATTTTACAGAAATATATTTGTCTAAAATTAGGAGAAGTGTTACAAACAAAGTGGTAGGAAATTAACAATGCTTGTTGTATTACATATTGATATTTTCAAAGTGGTTTCTCATGAAAACAAGTAGAGACATGCAATACTGATCAATCAAGGACTCATTAACAGTTTCTTTCAGGAAAGAAATAGAAGACAGTAGATCAACTTATGTTAACTATCCTGTATATACATACATACAAAATTTGCTATTTTGTAAAAGGTTGTCTGTCCGTTAATGTTTTCCTCCTTTTATTTTTAAGATAAAAATAAAATAAAATAAAATAAAATAAAATTAGGAGAAGTGTTAACAGTATAACTCACATCTTGGCGAAAATATTCACCAAGAAAGAGTGATTTAGGATCTTAGTGATTTCTTACAAGTAATAATGGAAACTGTAAAATTTTAAAAATGAAAAAGTTACATCAATGTTTACCTTGTTGTATTTTGATTGATAAAAGCTCCAGAGAGACTTCCTGAGTTTCTGGTCACATTATTTGTAGATCCAGGTGGTATCGGCATTGGCATTTGCTTTGGGGAATACGCTGTGTAGCTCGTCGAGCTACATATTGAATATTTGAATGCTTTTATGCATTTGTGTTATGTTAAGAAACAATGTCAGAAACTTATTTAAAAATGGAAGAGTCACCAACATTGTAAGGCTCAGTCAGTATTTTTAAGCCAAAACATAATTTTAATTAAAGGTAACAGCAATGAAAACTAGTACTAGACCTTTGGATAATGTTCTACAAATACATTCCTCCTTTAAAAAGTAGATTATATAGATAGAAGGGCAATCACAAGTGGTTTCTTAGTGTTAATTGAATTATTTAGGTGGATTGTATAATTTTATGTGTACTTTTAGTGCTATAATTGGAAACCAGATGCAGTTCTCAGAGTAAAACTGTAAGAGATCTATTTAGGATGGTTTTTTAATTTTAGTTTTATGCTGTGTTTCTAGCACATGGAACAGTGCCTAGCATATAATTGGTATGCTGTAAATACTGATGACGGACTGAGAGAGATAGCAAATGAATATTTGAAGATTTTCAATCTCTCAGTAGAGATAGTGACTTTACTAAGGTGTGGCCAACGTTCACCCTTTGTTTCTGTTACACATAGATTTATAATTGTAAATCTATCCCTCTGGGAGATTTTGTCACTGCCATCGCCTTGGGAACTGAGATGAAGTAGAAAGCCGGCAGAGACAGGGGTGTGACATACACTGACCGTTTATGAGAAAGAAGAAATACTTCCCTTCTGCTGAAGGGTTGAGGGGTAGGGAGGTAGTGTTGATAATGGTTGAACTCATGTTGGAGTAAAAATAAAATTGGGTGATAGTGGACCTCATGCAGTGACTACACTACCGTCATTTGAACTTACCCGTGCCTGAGCTTCAGAAATCCATTTTCCAGTGCCACAGGGAAGCCAGTGAAGTGATCTGGCCTTGTCACATTAGCTGCACAATTTCTTGCAAAGCATTAACAACACTCTAGTATCTGACCTAGTAAATGGAAAGCAACAAAAATACTAAATAAACTTTTCTGATGCTACTCTATACTAGAAAATGCCTGAAAGTATCACTTAATATTTTATTTATTCAACATGGATCTGCTTTTCCTCTAGATTACTGTGGGAAAGCGGTGGCCACCTCTGGAAATCCATCCTCAGCCTGATCATGAGGCACTTGCTTCAGTATCTCTTCACATTTTCAGGCTTTCAAGTCAGCCTGGATATGTTCTGGCTGGCTGGGCACAGTTCTCCATGAGACTTAACAGTTATTAAAAATAACATGTACCAAAGAGTTCCTCCTGGAATGCCTTGATTTTATTCATGGTAATGAAATGAATTATATACACTCATGCAAAGGATTCTAAAAATGTAAAGCAAGCAGTACAAGCCCAACTGGTCCCTTTTCCATTGAGCAGTGCTGAATATGCAATTACATTTTGAACAATAGGTATTCATAAATCAAGTGCAATATGCATGAGAAAACAGTCCTCTAATTAAATAAAAGAAGAATCAGTGTTTCTTGTTGCAGGGATTGCTAGTAGGATTAAAGGATTGTTCTTGAGCTCAGCACACATAATAAGCAGCTTGGCTGTCTGCCTTGAGCTTCTGCGATCCCCACTTCCACCACGGCGCAAGCTCTAAAACCAATGTACCAAATGGGAAGAAATGAGAGGATTAAAATAGACTTTGACCATCAACCTCCCTCCTGTGCTGATCCTCTCATTGGGCTGCTGTGTCTTACTCAACAGTCAGCATTGTACAAAGGTGTTGAGTGGATAACTAGGTGCAGTAACCTAAACCATATGTTGGTGCAAACTGTGCCCCTGTGAAGGGCTGTGTTTGCCAGAGTAGTGATGGACTCTAATCCACACAACGGTGTTCTGCTAATCCAGATAGGCCTGCCTATCTCTCTGTACCCAATGTGTTCTGAAAGTATGAGCTATTCTGCTCAAACCTGGGCCCAGTGGCATGCTGCAAATACCCAGTATCAAGACCCTCTAAATTAAAAGTATATTCCCTTGAGACCTGTAACCAACACCTAACACTGATTATCTCCTCCTAGAACCCCTTTCTTTTTCCTGCTTTTGGAATATACAACACTGAAGGTTCTGATTAGTCTTAGAATTTCCGAAACCTCTACTGGGGAAATTCCCTTTCATGGGGCTGCTGGTTGTGACCTGGTTAGGTAGATACAGTGCAGTTCCATGATGTGAGAGTTTAACACAATAACCCAACTATGAGAGGTCAACAAAGGAAAAAAAATGAGAAGAGCAGATTAGTTTTACTTGTCATTTCTCTAAGTTGTATGTCCCAATGTGAGCATTCTTCCCATAGTGTGAACATCTTGACGTTGTAATTATGATTTTAATTTTAAAACTAATAGGCATAGTTTTATCTACACTGTTTATCTATACCATATACTTATCTATACCATTGCCTGTAAGAGCAATTCAGTGATGTCCTCAGGTATTCAGCTAATGAGATCATGATTTCTGCTAATACTTGGGTAAGTGGGGGTCAGGGAGGGGTCTAAGTAGAGGTTATAGTAGAAGTTATGGGAAATGGGGGTATTTTCTAAGATTATTTTGACTATAGATGATTTTTGTCTTAGCGCACAAAGCCTATGCCTTGGCACAAAATAAGAATCCTTTTAGGTTCTTCTTATCCATTCTCCCTTGGGTTTCTTGTGGAGCTTTTGCTCCTATTTTTGCCAGGCACAATAAGAGATGAGTTACATGGTCCATCTTTCTCTCAGCACCATCTTTGTTGGGTGTGATGGAAGCTCTGGCCATCAGGCTGTGGAATGCGTATTTGTTTTTTTTTAAACACCAATGATTTCCTCTAAACATTTTTGTGGTTATGTCTGGAGCTCTGCATTTGGGAGGATCGGGAGTTTGGTGATCTGGGACCACAGAGGGATTGGTAAGTCAGAGGAGCGGGAAGCTGGGGGGTATCATCTAGCCAGCTATGCACAGTGGTCCACTACAACAACTGAGTTAAGCCTCAGTTATTCTGGACACAAATAAATGAACAATTATAGAAAATCAGAGTTGGATTACATTCAGGTCAAAATAATAAATTAAATTTAAGAGTTGGATGCTTGCTATTTATGAGGTATTATGCTAGCTTCCAGGAATGTTTAAGTAGGCAGCTTTGTTCCACCTTGTCATTTCAGAAATAGGGACATTAAATTTCACCATTGACAAAATTATCATTCACCCAGGAGATGTTTGTGAATGGCTGAAGGTACTGATCTTGTTTCCTGGAAGGAATTTTTATGCTTATGCATAAAAACCCCTGTCTCTACTTCATCAGTTCACTATCAAGTGATCTCTTTTATTACCATATCTTTTAAGAAAGTGTTATATGAGATAAAATGCTTTTAGTGTTTTGAAATATATTAGATAGAAGAATTCTTTTTTTTTTTTTTTTTTGGTTTTTCTCCAGTACCGGGAACCGAACTCACGACTTTGAGCTTGCCAGGCAGGCTCTTTTGCCGCTGAGCTAAATCCCCAGCCCCTAGATAGAAGAATTCTTGACATACACAGAGAACAGGGCTGTGCAAATCAGGATTCACATTTAACTGAATAATGGCCAAGAATGGTGGAAATTAATCAGAGAGTACTTATTGTATGTTCTGGCATACTATGTTGCTTTATATTTAACTATTTTTTAAAAGCTGAACCTTAAGATTTTGAGTGAGAATGTTTCATCATATGTACAGTGTCGTCAAGAAGCTGCCTCAGTGAGCCTTTTCCCGAGGTCTGATCAGGTCAATAAGAATCCCGCTCCATCGCGTTAGACATGTGGAGCCTCACTGCTCACAAAAAACAGACATAAGTCAATTCCAGCATTCCATTTCTGTGTCCTTTAAAACTTCCAAGCAAAATCTACTATTAGAAGTACCATAAGTAGTTCTTCTGGTAAGAGGCAGATTGGCTATTTTGATAATTGTACAGAGGGAGCACAGCAGCCTGCATTGGGCCCTCTTGAAAAAAGTACACTATGTGCTTGGCTTGGGGACATAAACACTACGAGAGGCCTCCAGGACTTCAGCAAGTCCTGCTTTCCAGCTGCTAGGAAAGGTCAGGATCGCTCTGGGAAGTGGAGCTCAGAATAGTTAGATACTGTTCCCCTGGGAGCTCTGGTCCCCAGAGAGGGCTATTCTGGGAGGGGACACATAGTTTACAGAATCCTGACAATGGGGGCTAAAGTGTCGCTGATGCTCAGTGTCAAGGCAGGACCCATGTCCCATTCCTGTAAGTATCCTTAAGATCTCACCTACTGCCCAGGATAGCACAGGATCTCAGCTGGTGCCTTTTTTAACTATCAGCAGAACAGGGCCTATCATTAGCAGGCTACATGTCTCCTCACCTGCCATGGGTCTGGTACCCTGGAAACCTTTAACTCACCCCAAATGGTAAGAAACGGTGTGCCTGCTAGTGTGTGCGTCAGTGACAGGGCTCTGAGCTGTGGCTCTTGTTTGTGTGCATATTTTTTCTAGATAGGATTTTAAAATTCAGAGCATGCGATATGAATTAAAAATTTAATAATAGTATTGGCCTTCTTTTTTGCCCTATTTCATATGAAGATAATATTCCAAGATTATTTTAATCTGGGAATAAATTTCTAATGTTGTTCTTGAGTTTAAGCGATACAAGTTATCTTGCCTGTTTGTAGGCGATACTATAAAAGCATCAGGAGATATTAATTGAGGAAGACTTTCAGAGAGAGAAACACATGAGTGCAATCACATTCCCACTTGTGAGGGGATAAGCAGGCATGAGTAAATGTTAGCTTTGTACATAATTGTCAAGTAAATATGCTCCTATTTCAACTTCCTAAAAATTTTCTGTCTTGCTTCTTGATTTAGAGACCGTTACTGGACTTCCTTTGATCAGATGTTGGGGGACACTTTTCTGTGCAAGGTTTGATAGTGACTATTTTATGCTTTTTATGCCAGGCGGCCTCTGGTGGCTTCTAAAAGTGCTGAGTGCTGTGGCCTGCGAGAGGCCACAGGCAATCACACAGGCAATGTGGCCTTTTTGTGTGGCCACAGCCTCCACAAAGGCTGTTCTGATGAAATTCTGTGTGGATATTGACTTGAGTTTTATTTCATCTGCTTGATATATTATAAATATTATAAAGTATTTAAAAAATATTATTCTTCTTTAGTTGTTTTTTGCAGCTATTCAAAATTGTAAAACTATTCTCAGCTCAAGGGCCACAGTAAAACAGGTGGCAAGCCAGACTGAGCCTGCACACTGGAATTGGCTAGCCCCTCCCTTATACGTCTTCAATAGTCCTGCGCACAACTCTTATCTCTTCGTTTTGCTCTGCGGCTGGCTGACTACACTCAGATCTGGTCAATGTAAGTTCTACCACCTGGGGCCAGGTGCTCACTTGCACTGCATTGGTTGCCACTGTACATTTACGGCAATCAGTCTCACACCTGGGATTTATGTCTCCCGCTTTCATTCTTAGAATAGGGTAAAAATTGCATTTTAGGAATTGGAATTAGTCATTCTACAGACCTTTAAAGAGATTGGATCACATAGCCTAGAGTCACAGAAATGTTCACTTCCAAGGGAGCAAACCTGAACAGTAAAAGTGGATGATGGGAGGGAGCTAAGCCTTCTCCTTCTCCTCCCATGGTAACAGTTTCAGGCACAAGCTGTTCTGAGACATCCCACCCGGCTGAGGGCTGAGTGTGTGTATTTGCTGAATGGAGTGTTATAGCCAGCAACACTCTGCATAGTCTCACCATTGTTTCCTATGATTTCCTGTCTCACTTCTTCCTTCTGGACCCTACATTTTCACTTTCCAAATAAAGCATCAAACTTAATCCATGCCTTAGGCTCTATTCTCTAGGGAACCCAGCTAAGACATTCCTTATAACACAGACATATATAAAAATGTCCTAAAAAAAATGTGACCAGTCACCATTCAGAACACATGATAGGAATTCTGAGTTCAGGCAGGGCCAGGTTGCTAAGGTAAATGCATGAGGTAATAACAAACGGGACCAACTAGCGATGCATGTTTTATCTAAAGAACAGAGACAAAATTGATAAGATTCCCATGAAGTAATATGGGTTTAGCTTCCTCAGAGTTTTCTACTGTCAAAGGCTGTTGTTAATCTGGAATTTTATGTGTTTCTTATTTTTCAATATTGTAAGCTAATTTTACATGGAGTTAAACATGAAATTACCTGTGAGGTGGAAATGCTTCTGGCAGCTTCTGGCTCAGAGTCTAACTAGAGAAAGCATACTGTGGAATCAGTGTAGAATGTGGGTGAAACGATGACAGAGGGCAAGGAGCTGGTCACTGAGGAATAGGTGTGTCCCTCTTGGGTGTGGCTCTTTTCTCTTGTGAGTTCTGAGGCATGGGTGGTAGTGGTGGGGCATTAAAAGGAGCATTGTATTCGGATTTTGGCCAGGGCTGTGGATTTAGCTCAGTGGCACAGCGCCTGCCTGGCAAGCCCAAGGTTGTGAGTTTGATTCCTGGTACTGGAAGAAAAACAAAAACAAAAAAATGATTTTGGGGCTTTGTTCCACTTCTCAAACTACAAGAATTTAGTCTGCAAAGTTTGGGGAAAAGCAGGCACTTCCAGTCATTGGTGTTTATGATATGGATCAAGACAATAACTGAGATCTTTTCCTAATTGCACACCCAGTGTATTACCCTTTGCCACACTTCAGAAGTTGTGTGAAGTGATGACGGCTGAGTTTGGGTTTGGAACGTCTCTCCCTAGCCCTGTGTTAAAGGCTTGATTCCAGGGTGGCAGATGGCAGAACCTTTGAAGCAGGCTCTAGGGGAACCTGTGTAGTTCACGGAGGTTTTACCCTTGAAAAGGGATTGTGGGGCTGCAGCCCTTTCTCTTTCTCTTGCTTCTTGTCTATGACCTGAGCAGTTCTGCTTTCCTGTGAGCTCCTGAAATGAGGTGCTACCTTGCCTCAGACCCAAAACAGTCGGGCCAGAAGCACATGGACCAGAACATCTAAAGCAATGAGCCAAAGGTTTTCTTTTATAAGTTCCTTATCTTAGGCATCTTGTTACAGTGATGCAGAGCTGACTAACACAAAAAATGTTGGTAAAAACCACCCAGAGGATTTTACTGCACATTTTATTTGCATGGATATGAATATTACATTTGGTTTATATTTATTTCCCCTATTTTTAGCTCTGAATTTATGTTTATCCCCAGGTGATATCTTTCAAATTTGCCATTCTACTTAGGAGTCTGGTGATATTGAAAATAGTTATTCTGACTCGTAAAATCTTCTTTTCATTCCTTTAAACATTTTCAGTTCCTTCAGTGTTTTTTTACCAAGAAATAATTTCCACTTTTTTAAAAACTATTTTGTTAGTCTTGAAATGAACATGAACATCTAACTCTGCTTGGGGCCTGAAATCACAAATTGAATAATTGTTATAGTTAAGACCTCATTAGTACAGAGTAAAACTGAATTATGAGGTTCTGCATCAAGACATTAAACCTTGATTTATTTAGTTTAACCTGCACTATATAGTGCTATACCTATTATACTTGACTGCACAGGAATTAATGCTATATATTCTTTTGACTTTGTACTTTTTGTGAATTCACTTCATGTCATCTGCTTTACATTTCTTGCTATACTTTATCCTTACCCTTTTCTTACTATCTTATTTTTTGTTTTACAGTACATATTTTTCAATATATGAATATTTTAAATTATGTCTCAAATACTACTAGAAATGAGATGAGGTGTAAAGGACATGTAAAATATTATAGTTAGTTAGTTTTATTTTTCAGAATTACAGAGGGCCTTGTTACTGTTCCAAACCAGGTTATATTAAAAGATTCACATCTCAGTATTTCTTTGGCAGCCTACCCTTTATGTTTGCTTATGAAAAATGAACCCTATGGAAATGTCTATAAGTAAAACATAATTTCTCTAAAAATGTGTGTGTTTATAGATATTTATACACAAGCACTTCGTATATGTATGTCTGCAACTGTACACAGTTCTAAACATAGAAAACAAACATACATCTTCGCAAAATTTAATTCCTAATTCTCTAGGTTTCCATCCATCATTTTCACTGCTTCAGATTGGATGTTTATTGCCATCTGCTTCTGTCTCACTCTTCAACCCTACAATTATATTTTCACAGCTTAATCTTATCAGAAATCTCAAGACCTCCATCTTGTCTAAATCTAATTATCTAGCTAATAACCAGGTGAACCCCAGCCCCAAGAACACTGGTGGATTCTCATCTAGAATTCAGATGGCATTAGAAGGGCTCTGACCATAGAAAGAAAATGACTAGAGAGATATGTAGCAGAGTGCATTACAGAGATTTGGCCTTTCACAGTTGCGGGAGCTAGTTATAATTTAACAGTTTATAGGTAGCTATGTTTTTCTGTGTCTAGCTCTGGAGCCTGAAGTCAGCAGGGCAGCACTGAAAGAGGAAAGACATAAAATGTGGGAGAGAGAAAATAAAATTGGAATCCAGAAGGATGATCTTGAGCCCACAAAGACAAATTGGAATTCCCATAAGCCTCCATTTTGAAGCTCCCAAGCTAAAATGTACAGATGAACTGCAGGAGAAACTGATGTTGTGCATTCTGCACCTGACCCAGGCAGGAGCTGGGCAACCTGAGGGAAAGGTGCAGTGAAAGCCGAAGGAGCTGCAAACCTGGCTTCTGCCCCGTGTCAACAAGGGATCCAGACTGCAGCAGTTACTTGTGTGATGCGCAGCCGTGTCATGTGCCCCGCAATTACATATGCACAATCTCCAGAGCTTTAAAAGAATATGGTTGATGCTTCATTTCAGCCTTCCAAATCCCACCATGAATGTTTCTTATGGCTCTTACCAACCTGAAATTCTGCCATGCCAGGAAACCTTGGAAATAGAGTACATGCAGCTAAACTAACACAATAAAAATCTTTATACAATCTAACTTTTCCCTAGAGACAGTCCCAATGAGTATTTTTCTGAGTTTTCTTCCTGTCCTAAATTCTTGTCAGGTTCCTTCAGGCCACTCTCCTTTCTGTCCTGGGGCGAGCAGAAGTGGTGATTTACTCCTTGGCATTACTGACACTGATTTAGAGGCATATTATGGCATGGAGGAAAAGAGAAAAATGCCATTTGGAATCATAGCCTTTTCCAGATTCGGCTGTTTCTTCCTTTCCCTCTTGGGTCCACAGCATGGTTCTCAGGGTAGCTCCCAAGTAAACAGGCTTCACTTCCTGCCTTTCTCTAATCAGGGTGGCAGGGGGACGTGTCCACCTCTGCAGCAGCCTTCCTGTGTTGACAACACTGTTTGTTCTTCCCATCTCCCTGGGGAGAAGTTGCCTTATCTTTTCTGTGCAATGTATTTGGGGAAAACACATTTTTCTCTTTTAAAGGAATTGATTATTGTGCTTCTTAAAACTGAAAGGCGAAGCTCTTTTAGATCTAAACACTGACTTTAAAAAAAATCCAAGTTATTCTGACAGTGCAAGAGACAGGAGAGAGAGCTTCTTTGGTGATGACTGGTGATGCATTTTAGATCTTTCTAGTCACTAAAACATGGTATTTGTGTTTGGGGTGAAAGAAATATAGAGAAACAATTAGAGCTGAATAATTTGAAGTATTTCTCAATCTCTTGACCTACGTGTCTTTCTTAGAAGGCTTTCTTGGCCCTTGAGCCAGTGATATGAAGAATATGTGGAGAACAGCCTGGCCTGGGAGTTTGTAGGTGTTAGTTGTGGAGCTCAAACTTTTGATGATAAACATTGGTGTGCATTTTAATGAAACTAAATGTAAAATTATTTCTGTCCAAGAATTAGTTGTATGAGAGAGACTTAGACTCAGGTCTATGCTTATGGCAATAACTTTTCTAAAAAATAAGTTTTTAAAAACGTGCATTTGCAATGGCAAGGCAATTTGTTACCAACTCTCTGTTCCAATGGCTTTTGTCTGGTGAGTTTCCATTTTTCCTTTCATTCATGCAGAGGACCACAAAGAACTATTGGAATAGCCTCTCAGTAGTACAATTCTATGAGTGACGATTTCTTCCTTGATCTTTTCTGCAACATTAATGAAACAGAGGGCAAGGCTAGCTGTAGATATTTCACTGTTAAGAATAATGTATTGTTTTCCTCCAAAACTTGCATTGGAAAGTGAGGCTATGTGTACACTTTCCTTTCTGAGACAAAATTTGTAGACTATAGTCAGTTAGTTGTTTTTCTGGGTGTGTGTATATATTCATGTTTAGTGTCTTATTATCCATAAAAATATTTTCTGATCCCAACATTCAAAAGACATTTATAGAATTATTTAATATGTAGAAAGTATTTGTTCCTATATGGAGTCAGAGATGAGTCCTTAACAATTTTCTAAATAAACAGCTAATAGGGTCCTACAGTTAACTAAAATACAACCCAAAATACAAGTGAAGTGCTACACGTAGGAGTAAATATTATGAATTGTGTGGATTTAGAAAAGAAAAAGATTAATTCTCTGATTTGTGTAATTATAGGAAGCTTTATCGAGGTCATGTTGAGTTGAGTTGAGGCTTGACAGGTAGAAAAGAGATAAATGATGAGTATTCTTGTTTAAAGGAAGCATATCAGGGTTGGTTTCTCCAAGAAATTTTGATTTTGTAGTGATTTTTCATCTTTTTTCTTGCTTTCAAACATTTTCAAACATTCCTTGGAATATTTTTATTTGCTGAGCTATAGAGCACAATGTAGGCTACTACTGCATTCTAAGATCTAGTACTCATAGCTAACAAATACTGAGCACCTAGTGTTTGACAATTATTTTGTGTGGATTTTCTCATTTAACCTTCACAAAAAGCCTGCAAGAAAAGTACTGCAATTATGTCCCTTTGAAGCTTCAAGAGATTGGTTAATTTGTGAAGGACATATTGCATGGGGGACAAGGATTAAAACAAATATCTAAATCTGGAGGCTGAACTCGTAAATTTGTTATACTCTACTGCCTTAACAGAATATTTAATGGTCCATTATTCTAATGTTGGTAGATTTGAAATAGACTATAGTTCATCATCTAGGACACTCATGATTCTGAGTGTGGCTGTGTGGTAGAGTGAGTTATTTTGTCCACATTCCACTCCATGGCTTTTGTTATCCCTGGGACAGTTTGTCCTTGCTTGCTATATGCCATATGAATTCTCTTGTCTTTTCTTCTGATTTATATCAGAAATCTCTCAGAGTAATATTTCAGTGATTTTTATTTTGAGTTTTATTTTCCAACCATGAGAAAAATACAGCTTCAACAATCCACAAACGATAATGAACACTCTTTAAATTGTGCCTGAGAATGATATTTCAATGTACATAACAATTCCAAAAAGATCTAAGTTGCTACTTTAAAATAATGTAACCTACCTTTACAAAGCTATATTTTTTAAAGGTTAATTATCTTAGACTGAAACTTGTCAAAACACCTGTGTTAATTTCTTATGACATAATACTCCTTTCATTTTGTGTCCCCTATCCATCGATTCATGTTCAAATCTTGACTCTATTATCTTATTTTTGGGCTAACATCTTCAAGATATAATCAGAATGCTGATCAGTTTTATCCCAAAGGCTATATTGCTTCTACTAAAAAGCAAGAATCTTACTTCGGAAGGACTAAGTACTATATTTTTCAAATGTTCCATGAAGGAAGTGTATTTTCTCTCTCTACTGAGAAAAAAATCTTTGTTAATAAGCATAGGATGCTCCAACTCCATATAAACATGATGGATTCAGCCTTTAATACTTCTTTTAGCTAAATAACATTGGCTACTATGGCTGTGCTCCTGGCCATCTCTTTCATTTCCTCTGGCTTAAGCTGTCCATTTTCTCACAAGTATAATATTACTAATATTAATATAGTCTTGGACCTGCTAATCAGGTTCACTTGAGGCCTCCCTGTGGGTCTATAATCAAATTGTGTTTGTAAGCAGCCACCTGCAGGTATAAATTTTTAGCTGAATACTGCATATGGTGAGGACAGCCAAAGCTTACAATATTGCCCAGTTGTCCCCGTGGATACTGTTTTTCAAAATGCTGTAGGTATGTCTGCAGGCACTTGCTTCATACGTACATGATGGGGAGTGCGGAAGGAAAAGGAAAAGCAGACAAAAGGTAACATCCTTATTTTAGCCTAACAATAAAATGAATACTGTTTGAAAATATATCTTTAAAACTATTGAAATACATACTTCCACGGTAGCATCACAATTATAATTTCTTTCTTAGCCAAGTTTGGAGCCAAGTTGTTATATATTTAAAGGTTGTCATCAGCTCACACAATCCTGGACAAGCCAGGGCTGGTTTAAGCAATGTGCTTACCTGTTTAGTTTCTTAACAAGTCATTCGGGGTAAACCTAAGTTAATAAGTGAGAAATTACACAAAACAACTGGAAAAATCTTTCTTTTATTTTGGCTTTTCTGTTGCTCTACTTTTTAAAAAGGAAAATTTGCCCTACTTTGAAATTTAAAAAGCAAACTTCCCTTGAGTATGTTTTATGAAATGCTAACAAAAGATTTTAGGAATTCTTTTGCAAAAACATCCTGGGATAGAGCACAGCTAGAATTACAGTTCAGTGGAGTAAAATAACAATGAATTAAATAGCTTAACATGTTATAATAAGTAGTCTATAATTTTAAGAATGGAAACCTATCCAATTTATTTCCTTCTAAATCATATTAATAAAAAATGTCCAGCAATTTGAAATTGGCAAGAGTGATTCATTATAATGCAGGGAGGAAAAAATAGAACTTATTTCATGATTTTAGTCTGAAGTTAACAGCAACTCTGGGCCCCAAAGGGTGGAGAGAATACATTTTATTTGTGTCTTTTCTGTCTTATTTATTCTTTCAGCTTCTTACACTAGGGAGACAATATGATGTTTACACATGTGAGTCTGATTTATTTCACTTATGAGTATGGTCTCTAGGTGCATCCATTTACCTATAAAAGCCTCGAGTTTATCATTTTTATGGTGATTAATGCTCTGTTATATAAAAAGATCACATCTTTTTTATTCATTCCTTTGTTGATGGGCATTCAGGTTGTTTCCAAGATTTAGCTATGACAAATTGTGCTGCTATAAACATGGATGTACATATATTGCTGTGGTATGATGTTTTTAATTCTTCTGGGAAAATACCCAGAAGGGGAATAGTTAGATCAAATGGTACCTCTAATTCTAGTTTACTGAGAAATCTCCAGACTGATTTCCACAATGGTTGCACCAGTCTACACTCCCACCAACAATGGAGAAGTGGTCCTTCTTCCCTGCAGTCCCGCTAGCATTTGTTATTGGTTGATTTCTTAATGTTAGTCGTTCTTTCTGGGGTGAGATGGAATCTCAGTGTCATTTTAATTTGCATGTTTTGGATGACCAATGATGTTAGACATTTTTTTTTTTCATATATTTATTTGTCATTTGTATTCTTTTATCTCTGAGAAGTGTGTATTCATCTCAGATACCCTTTTTTGGATTGGGTCTTTGAATTTTGGGGGTCTGAGTTTTTAAAATTCTTTATGTATTTTAGCTTGAAATCCTTTGTCTGAGGGAGTTGGCTAAAGTGTTTCCCCAGTTTGTGGGTTTTCTTTTCACTCTGTTGGTGATTTCTTTTGATGTGCAAAACCTTTTCAATAAGATGAGATCCCAGTTGTTGCTTCTTTGAAATATTTCCAGTGCAGTTTTATTTTTGTCCAAGAACTCTCTACCTACCCCTGTGCCTTCAAGATTTCTACCTACTTTCTCTTCCAGTAGATGTAGTGTTTCTGTTTTAATATTTAGATCTTTGATCCATTTTGACTTCAGTGCATGATCATAGACATGGATCTAATTTTAGTCTTGAAAGCCAGTTTGATGCAAAAAATCAAAATAATTTTTTTCTATTTTTGTTTTTACTTCATCTCATGGTTTACTTTTAACAACTTTACCCTAACAGCTTTCTCTTTTTGTTTTCAGCAGCCTGAGAGTTCTGCAGAGTTTGGTGAATGGGCCTCAGTGTAAGCAGGACAACTCTTCAGCTGAAAGAAGACACAGGCTTGAGACTAGCGTTATTCCTTTCTATGCTGTGACAGTGGACATAACATCTGCAGCTGCACTAGGGAAAAATAGTAACTATTACACATATGACTTTACAACGTTGTTAATAGAGACCAAATAACACTGTCTTAGTATTATCATTGCAACTCCCAAACTGTCCTGAGGCTTTTCATTTTTTCTTTCTCCTCCTGCCCCACTTTTTTTGTTTTTGTTTTTGTTTATTTGCAGTACTGGAGATTGAAGCCAGGACTCTGAGCTATATCCCTCTTCTAAATTTTTATTTTGTGTCATGATCTTGTTAAGCTGCTAACTTAGTCAGACTGGGCCCAGACTTGTTATTCTCCTGCCTCGTCCTCTCAGAGTACTGGAATGCAGACATGTACCACCACATCCGTTCTGAAGCTTTGTTTTGCAAGCAGCTACATCTCATGTTTGTCATTTTTATAAGGATATATAATTACATATTATTAAATACACTTTATAAAACCTGCATCCAGCATCTTAATCATAATACAGAGCATTGTTATCACTATAAAAAGTCCCTTTTTGTCTTTCTAGTGTGTGCCCCTCTTTTCCATAGTTAAACACTATTCTGATCTTTATCTCCATAAACTATTTTGTATACTCTTGAACTTCCATACAGATGGAGTAATGTAGTGAAAACTCTATTCTTTGGGGGTCTTTGATCTCAGTATAATTTTTTTGAGATTCATTCATGTTACAGACATCAGTCTGTTTTTTTCATTCTTGGGATATTCTATTATGTGAACAGACATAATTTTTTGTGTGTTCTGATGCTGAGGCATTTATGTTGCTTCCCATACTGTGTATAACTTACTTTGAAGTAGTTCAACAGAGATGGTAGGGTAGTATATATAATTTTTATTAGTTTCCTTTATTCTGAACTTTAGATGTGGCACTTTATAGGCATTTCCACTGTTAGATGAAAAGGATGAAAGAATCTAGTGCACTAGATTGTAGGCATCAGGATGAAACCATAGATTTAGATTACAAAATGGTCCACATACAGCCACATACATATGGGATCTTTGTAGCCCAATCCATACTGGAAGGTGAGCTGACTTCTGCTGGTAAAATGTTGAATTTGTCCTGAGTAGAACTTTATGCATTGCTGTCAGCACACTTAAAAAAGGTCTGATGATACTTCTTGACTTTACTTTCTAGATTAAAAACTGTTATTAAACCTGTTTTGTAATAAATGCTTGTATGTGGGACACGGTTTTTGTTTCAGATTTGTTTTGATTGCAATCTTTTCAAAATAGTAAGAGAACAATCCAATAATTCTCACTTACTGCCAACAAGTAAAAGTTACTCACAGTTACCCCCAAACCATGATAATTATAAATGATAGTTGGCTCATACATACAAAATATCAATACACAAGCAGTATATTTTGGGTAATTTAACTGTAAAACAGAGTAATCAGAGTAAAAATCTCATTTTTCCATTGATCTAACCATCTTTCAATGATATCAGGTTAGAATTTTTTTCTAGCAAGGGTTTATGGTTGCATTAATAAATGTACATTAAGGTTTAACTTACTATGTCTAATTCCAAGGAATCCTGTTGAGTTAGTCAGTTTCTATCTAAGAACTCTCATGTCTGGCTGATGCTCATGCAGATCTGACTTGGTGGGTCCCAGAATTCTCATCTGTTCCCAATCATTTGTTCCATTTCCTGGCCAAATAGTGTCTTCAGGCTTATCTTCACCCTACTGTGTGTTTAGGACCTTGCCACTTTTTACTTGTTTGTTTTGGATATTTTAATTGTTTATTTTGATTTAATTTGGGAATCTTTAAGGGCTTTTGGGATGGTCGGTTGAGTTATATGCAGCTGCATTCACCCATCCCTTTGCTATTTTTCTTTCAAATGAAAGTGCCATTCATACCGCGTTTGCCTCCCCATGACATCATTGACATCAAAATTTGAACCTGGAAGCTGAGGCCGAGATTTTTCTCTGACTCAGCTTCCTGTGTTCTGCAGAAAACTCCTTTCCCTATACTAATTGTTATTCTTCTTTTGTCAAGACTTAAGTGGTGTTAACATAAATTCTCCTGTTATCCTCTAATGTCAACTTGAGCCTTTTAAAATATTGGAAGTGCTCCCACAAATGAATTGTGTTCTCACAGTTTCCCAGCATCATTCATTGCTCGCCTTTCACAGAAGCAAACATAAAAACACATCCTTTTGTACATAACAATAATAAATACTTTCCCAAGGTCAGGAATATTTGTGTCAGGAAAGCCCTATTTTGTGAAAGAACAGGATGTTCTGATGAACTTAATATTCTTGAGAAATACCTATCAATGTTCCTATTGTGAAGTTTTACAAAGGAGGAGGTGAACCCTCACTGTGCCCTCCCTGCCTTCTAACTATCCATACCCTGGGGATTCAAGTGTTTTCTCACTAAAGTGGAGGTGTGCATTATAAGGGGATGAGGGGTGCTGTATGATGAAAAACTCTTAAGACTGTTCCCTTGTGTTAACCCAGAGTCTATTGCTCCTTTAACTCTACCCTTATTTTCATTTTCATCTTGATGTTTAATTTTTGTCATAGTTAGAATTTCTGGATTTCATTACTGGCTGGAATTTTGAGCTACTCAGATTTTGATTGACCTTTTTTATTTAATTTTTGTTGGGAAGGAGGCAAACTATAATTCCTTGCCCGAGCCAAGAGCTGATTCTGACCCAAAGAATTATTGTCCAAAGTGTAGATTACTTCATTATTATATCTCAGGTGTGCAAGTAAAAGTGCCATCACTTTTTGAGAAATTAGTAAGAATTATATAAGTAGCCTGGCAAGTGCAAGATCCTGAGTTCAATTCCCAGTACCAATAATAATAATAATGTGAATAAAAAGCAATGTCAGCTTTTATTCTTCTTTGACAAAGCTCTAAGTATATATGAACTTGAGAAAACTATTAGGTATCTATTTCTTATTGTGCAATCATTTTCCTTTCAAAGTGATAATAAAATCAGGAAGTTGTATGTAGTTGGCTCATGTATGACATTAATCCTCCATTATGCTCAGAAAAGATTACTTGACAGAATCTGAGGTGTGGGATTTCCACAGGTGAGAATCTGGAATTTACACCTGGTTTTGTTAGCTTCCAAAAGTGACTCACTAGTGACTCATACGTAGGTCGAGCCCCACAGGCTTTGGAGTAAAACAGACACAGATCGGTCCAATGTTTTAATCCAAGGCACCTTGAGTATTTTCTTTTCAGGCTATAGATCTGATTACAGCATTTACTATTTTATAACTGAGGATACCTACCACATCACATAATTATAAAGACTAAATAATCTGTTGTGTGCACAAACACATAGAGTGGGTAAAATGGAATAAAAATGGTAGTTTTGATCATGCTAAGAGTTATTAGAAAGCCAAATTTTTAGAAAGATACATATTGCGCTAAGGCCTCATATGGTTTAGACAGGTCAAATTAAAGAAGCCAAATTATATTTAGAAACTTTGTTATATAAACATATAAGAGCAGGGTCGATCAAATGTATTATGCAAATTTTAAAAAAATCCAACATTACGGCAACTTGGTTCCCATCTGCACACGATGACAAGCCTGTCTCCAGGACCACACAGATGCAGACGGTGGGCAGGGTACCCTTGATCTAAGGTCAGCATCATCAGCATGTCAAGTCATTTTCCAATCATTCATTATTCTTTAGTCATATTAGGACTTCTGGTCAGGGTCTGAGCATGTCTTGCTGGTGTTCTGATCATGTTCTCTCATTAAGATGGTTGCATATTTCCTTTCTGATATACTCTTGGAGAAGAACATCTGTGTGCACATGTATCGCTAATATGATTGGAAGACTCAGGATGACAGGTGTATTTCCTATTAGTCACAAATATTTAAAAGGTGTAATGCCTGAGAAATGTGTGAGTACCCCAGGCTTAAGCAAGGATGAGTAACTCAGTTGAGTGATGAGTGGGTGAGGAGGTGGGCAGGGCTCAGGGGTGGCAGGGGTTCAAATATTTGTTGACACTGTAATTAGTCCTATGCTATAGCATAAGCACTTAGGGTTAAAAAAAAAAGAAATATTCTTGATAACTGTTTGCCTAAACTTTTTCTTATAGAAGTAGAGGCAGAATATGTAAAATTTTCTCCAGTGTTTTTATTTCCCTCAGACCTGGTCCATTGTTAGTTCTTTGGCACTTCCAGCAAGAGGCCAACTCCGCAGAGCAAGTCACTGACTCACAATTTTGCCAAAGGCAAATTGTTTAATGACCCATTCACCAGAATTCCATTTTCTAACACTACGTTTGATTAGATAACTTTTCACTTTTGCCTTCATAGCAACATTCGAAGGCATCCTCAATATGTTTCTTCGCTGGCTTTCTTTGGCTACCACTTGGAGAATGGGCAGATGAGAACTGCAGACACAGAAGAGTGAGGACATGAGAAGACAGTTCACCTAGATCATTATTGCGTAGGACAATGCTCATGAGCGTATTATTTGCATGAGAACACCAGGTTGCTGCACATTGTTCACATATATTTCATACATTCTGCAACATTTTCTTGAGTATCAAGAACTACATTAATTGTCCACCTAGAAGACTAATAGTGTATTCTTGACAAATAGACTTAAAAATGCTCCATATTTAATAATACAGTTTCTTAGTGACATCCTTCTCTTCCACAGTACCTCTGTCTTCCACTGCACAGTTCCCTTTTTCAATTCTCCTTCTCTGCTCTTGCCTTCCTTCGCCTCTCTCTTTGCCCTGCAACTCCAACTGGAACAGTGGGGATGGGACAGAAAGACATTAAACTTTCCTTAGAATCCTCTAATAAGGACAAGATCAAAGCCCATGAACTATGACTAAATAATTGAAAGGTTTAAGTAAAGGTGATGAACCAGTCATTTCATGAATTGGACTTTCAACTAATTGGCTGTAGGCAAACTGTCCATTCAGCAAGTCGATATCTGCTGGGTCCACCTTGAGCCTGTGTATTCTCAAAAGAGGCTGAGTGGTGAAAACACAGAGGTTGGAGGGATTCAATCTGAGATGGCATTGGGGCTCTGAGGTAAAATGTTCTGCACAAGCAAAGGTGACACTACTGAACTGATCATTAGCTTAGACATGTAGGTACTGTGGTTGTGTCCAGCACTGATAATTTAATAAAACTTATTATTATGTTTATTCACTGAGAGCCTCATTATTTTTATTAAATTTAGAAAATAAGGAGAAGGAGCCTGGAAAAGATTATGTGATGTGTATGACCAAAATAATTTTTAAAGGAGTTGGTAACAGAGATTGTTAAACTGCCTAATTACTATGCTTCATGTATTCTGAAAACACGAAACATCAAATGAGTTTTGTTTAGAGGTCCTTGTTGAAAGCTGAATGCCACAGTTAAAATTCAGAGTTGCTGTGTTTTAAATGCTTTATTTGCTTCTCTTATTTAATCATTACAGCCACTCCAGGAGGGAAAAACCATTATCACCCCAGTTTATAAGGGAAAGCTGAACTTAGCAAAGGTAAGTAACTTGCTTATAATTTTTGGCCAGTAGATTAAGATTTCATACTTGAATTAACAGCCCTCAATACAGGCCAGTCTTGACCAGTAGAATTATAATGTGAGCAACATACATAAATTTACATTTTTTGTTGCCGCATTTAAAACATGAAAGACAGTGAAACTCCTTGATATGGCCTAATTTATCCCAAGATAATGAAAACATTATAATTAAAAAAATCTATTTCATACTAAATTTCTAAATGCATCATATGTTTTTGAACTACAGTACAGCATATGTCAGTTCAGATGGGCCACATTTAAGTGCTCACCTAGCCATGCGTGGTGAGAGATATACCCTACTGGATGGACCCGCAGTTTATGTAACCCTTGAAATCTGGTTATCAGTGCTGCCTTTCAGACCAGGCCCTATCCCATTCCCGCTGCATCATCACCTTCATGTCAGTCAGAGGAGCAGACCCTCATGTGCACATTAAAATTGAGAAGTCCAGTGCTCATATCCATGCTCTTCAGAGTTCTATTTGACTGCTGATAAGAGTGCTCATTTGCTCCCTCAGGTTGCAGATGTGTATTCCAAATTTGTTCATGGCAGCCCTCAGAAGGTAGCACTGATAGTGATGTTACATCATGAAAAATACATCAGCTTTGGGATGCAGGACATTACTAGCTAAAATAAAATTGAGTACCTAATGTTTACATTTATAGCATTAAAAATAACATATGTCCCAGTTGCCTATAAATATTGTTTTCCCCTTTCTTGGTAACAGACTCTCAGTTTTTAGGTGGGGGCAGTGATTCTAGAAATATATATACTTTCCCCAGTCTTCCAATTACTAAATTCTCCCCCATTCTCCCCCACGAGATGCTAATCTATGTCATTCTGACTTTGGGAAACATTCTTTAACATTTCTGGCTCAGCTGAAACTTATACGTCCTTTTGTTTTCTTTTTCAGCATGGAATATAAACTTGTTAGCTGGAACTCCAGCAACCATTTGGAGCCATTAGGTAATTTTAAGAAGTCACAAAATAGGATGGTAAAGCCAAAAGAATGCTTTCGGAATTCTGGCTGCAGGGTAGATTCTGTACAAATCTAATTGTCCTCTTCATATATGTTATTTCTCTGTGCAAGGGAATGTTCTGCCTTGTTTAATGCACTTTGGCATTTCTGTGATATGCAAGAGAGCCTAATTCTGTTACATTTCTCAAAATGTGTATTGCACAGGTTAAATTTATGTGTACAACCTTGGTAGGCACTAAATATATTCGTTTGTAGATACAGGAGTGTCTTAGTTAATTTCTTTGATGCTAGAAGAAAGTATTTGACACCCATAGGAGGAAAGGTTTAGTTTGGTTCATTGTTTGTAGAGTTTCAGCCAATAACTGGCTGGTTACATGATAGGGCAGCATGGCAGGGGGGTCTCACAGAGGAGAAACAGTCCATAGCAGGGCAGCACAGCAGAGGGGCCTCACAGAGGACAGTGCTCGGGCATGGCCACTGCGAAGCAGAGGGAGTCAAGGAGGAGCCAAGAAGGGAGTTATGACCTTCAGGGTCATGTACACAATGACCTGCCCTGCCTCTTCTAACCAGAATCTGCCTCCTAACAAGTCAGCCGTATCATGCCCTCCCCTAACAAGCACTTTTCAGAAGCCCCAGCTTTGAGTGCTGGAGGCTTTGGGGGCACATTTAGATATAAACCATGGCAGAAAGATAGCACTAGCCCACAAGGAGCTCAAAGTAGAGGCTACACGATAAAGTAAAAAAAATTTACAATAGATTTTTTTTTGGCGTGCTATGAATTATTTCTTGCAGTAGGCATACACATATCATTGTACATCTTTTGAACTACTAAAACCCATAAAATGTTAATGTCATTGCTACTGCTAAATATGTTGATGTTGAGGTGAGACCGTGTCACTAAGAAAGTAGTAAGAGGTGGTTGGTGGCAATGATACTTCACAGTCCAGTCCATAGTGCCTGCTACCCTAGCAACACTGTCTCAAGACTTTGGAATCACTGTTTCTGAGAAAGCTTTTGGTTATATAGGAGGAAACATGAATATTTTCTGTGATCTTTAGTGATAGAATATTTGAGCAGAGATCTTATTTAGGCATATTTACTGTGTAGTTCCTCATTTTGGGAAGAAGATCACACTAAGAGAAAATCAACATGTACATTTACATTTAATACATGATTAATTTTTTTCTTCTTTTGTGTGTGTAGTACTAGGGATTAAGCTGAGTGTCTTCACTCTAAGCTAAATTCCCAGCCATATATATATA